GGTTGTTTTCTCATGATCACATTCAAGAACAGCAAATAGTAGGTTTCACAGGCTTACCAACTACAATTGATTTCACAAACAGAAAAAGGGGAGATGTTGGGAACCACCCTGCCTGGTCTCAGAAGCTGTAAACTCCCCATGTCTAAGGCTGAGTGAGCAACCTTCAGATCATAAGCCTCTAAGGAGACAAAGCTTATCTCCCTGGCAGAGGCGCCAACTCTGCCCCTTTTATTTCACCCTGCCTGGCCCTCAATGCTTGATCAGTTAGCCAATGATGGGTAAGATTCCTCAAGGGAGGGATGACCTAAGATAGGCACAATCATGGGGGCTCCAGGGAAGGACTTGGGGGGCTATAGTAAAAGGAGGTGATGGACCCTCACCCTTCCACTTTGACATAGCCTGAGTCCTCATTCTGTCTGTAAGAAGTCTCCTTATCTCTTGGCTGCCTTACTTCCCCTGCCTGACTTAAGCCTGAAACAATGACAGAGGGCAGTGCAGCCCTGTCTGGAAAGGGCAGGTTCCTGGGGCAATCAGATCTAAGAAAGAATACAGAAAATCCTGTGAAACCTGATTTACTAAGAATGTTCTTAACTAAATGATAAGGGTCCAAGCAGAAAATGACTTTGTTTCCCAAAGTTTTGTAGCCCTTTAGCCAATAGACCCTGACTCAGAATAAGCCCTCATAGTTCTTTGTATGCTACCTATTGTTTGATCCTTACTTCCTGACAATGACTAATGAGCTTTACCTGTATTCCTGTGCAAAATGAACTCAATAAAAGCCCACTGAGGAAAAGGCTCTTGGCCCTTCTCCTTCGAGAGATTCGCCACCTTTCCTCCCCAAGCAGATCATGTTTTGGTAGACTTATTCTCACCATGGTGGCCAGGGGGGCCCTGCAGGTAGAGCCCTCCCACACTTGAGAACAAAAATATTTCCCCTACATTTTGGAATTTGAAGGCAAACCCTGGGTCCAGAAAGATTTCAGAAGCAATCAAGTGTTGGGAACCACCTTGCCTGGTTTCAGGAGCTGTAACCCCCCCATGGCTAAGGCTGAGTGAACAACCTTCGGACCATAAGCCACTAAGGAGACAAAGCTTATCTCCCTAGCAGGAGCACCGCTTCCACTCCTTTTTCCATAACTGGCCTCCAGTGCTTGGTCAGTTAGCCAATGACGTGTGAAATTCCTCAAGGGAGGACTGACCTAAGACAGGCATGGTCATGTGGAAGCTCCAGAAAAGGACTTGTGGGGCTATGAAGAAAGGGGGTGATGGACCCTCACCCCTTGGCTTTGACGAAGCCTGACTCTCCTGAGTCCGAGAGAAGTCTCTGAAAATTCCTTGGCTATTTGCCTCCTCTGCCTGGCTTAAGCCTGAAACAATGACAGAGGGCACTGCAGCCCTGTGCTGGGAATAGCAGGGTCCCCAGGTGATATGGCCTGAGAAAGGATATGTAAAATCCTGTGAAGCCTGCTTTGCTAAGAATGCTCTTAGTTAAATGATAAAGGCCTGAGCAGAAAATGAGTTTGTTTTCCCAAAGTTTTGTAGCCTTTTAGCTGATAGACCCTGACTTAGAAGAAGCCCTAATAGTTCTTTGTATGCTGTTTACTGCCTAACAATGATTAATAAGTTGTACCTGAACTCCTGAGCAAAAAAAAAAAAAAAAAAAAAAAACAATAAAAGCATGTCTAGGCAAGGGTCGGTGTGCTCTCCCCTTGAGAGAGTGGCCAGGCCATTCTGAGGCGTTTCCCCTTTGAGGGAGTCGCCATGCCATCCCTTTTCCTCCACAGGACTTGGTAGTCCATGTGAATTTGTCTTGATTTTCCATCCATAACGCCATGGGCACTGCAGGCCACTGCCTGCATCAATCAAGCACAGTGTAGAAAGCAGGATTATGCAATATCATGTAACAAAAAAAGTGTTCAGATAGATGGCAATATGTTTGCCCACAGCTATGAAGGCAAACAAAATGCTAAACTCTGTCACAGAATAAGCAGGATAAGCAATGTATCTGGAGGAGAGAGAAAAGTGGTGGCCAGATTGAATTATCACTTGGGCAAAAGGGGAATTGGATTCCTACAATGACTGTTAAATATGCAATACTCTCCCACTAAAGGCATTGGAGGAATCTCATCTCAGGATAAGTTTAATGAGCAAAAACTAATGAACACTGTGGAATGATATTAATGTAACCTGTCCCAGACTCAGAAACATGAAGTGACCCTTGGGATCACTTCCAGGTCAAATGTTCTAAGAAAAACAAGCTTGATTGACTTTCTCTCTTGAGTAAATTAATTTCCCAACTGGTTCAGTGCAGTGCAAGATAAGTCAAGAGGATCCTGTGAGTCTAGAATCATGAAGTATAGGTTTAACCAGCCCAACTGCTGCAAATTTTAGTAACTGCTGTATTGTTTGGGCTCAGTATTCAGTATACAGGGTTTATGTATTCTAAACAGCCAAGCTTTAGAAGAAACTTGAGCAATGTATGTTAAGATGAGTATTTTTTTGTTTTGAAAGATTAACATACATTTTAAACAGTGTCATCTATTTCCTGTAACTCTTATTCTTCCTAAATCTATCATACACACACACATACACCCCTTCATATTTCAGTTGTAAAATAAATATTACACCAAAAAAATTCTTCCCCACCTGTCTCCCATGTACATGTTTTTCAAATGTAATCTATTTTTCATATGTTATAAATACTTGCTACTGTTATGATTCATTTGTGCATTTTTAGTAAAAAAGAAACAACTTTCCCCTTCCAACCCCAGATTTTTCTCTTCCCCACCTGCCACCCTTTCTGTGGCCTCCACATAAGCCAAGTTCACCAGGCTCACAGACTCTTGCCTCAAAAGTGAAAAGATTTTCTTCTGACAAATTAGCGTAAGGAAATCTCTGATTTCATAACTGTACAATGCTTATACTTTAAAGTTCTTCAATTAATATTTGGGAAAGCTGCTATGTCAAAAATTTCAAGACAGATTTAACTCGCTAAAATTGTATTAAGTAAAAGTTATCATCACTATTTTAAATGTTAACACCAAGATCATATGCCTTGCACTCCTTCCAAAACCCTAGAATTTGAAATAAGATAACGTTTTGGATAAATATATTTTTGTGTTTTATTTGTACTGACAAAGAAGTAAAATTAAGAAAATTTATTTTGGCCCAGCCAGGTAGCTCAGTTGGTTAGAATATTGCCCCACTACACCAAGGTTGTGGGTTTGATCCCTGTTCAGAGTACATACAAGAGTCAACCAATGAGTGCATCAGTAAGAGGAACAAGAAAGCTATGTCTCTTTCTCTCTCCCCCCGACTAAAAATCAATTAAAAATATATCTTGCTTTGAAATTCTATCTTAATTATTATACAGGGGCCTTTTCACATATAAAAACCCTGAAACATTGGAAGTCCTATTTTACAGATAAAACTGGGATTAAAAATGTCCAAGTGCTTTGCTCTAGTTTCAAAATTATGACAGTGCAAGAATTTATACTCAGGTCTCTTTCCACCAGTTGGCAACAATTTGTGAAATTATTCCAAAGACAAAATAAATAGTAAAGAAGTAAAGTAAAAAATAAAATAAAAGCTATTCTGAGGAAAAGTTAACTGGTAAAAAGAGGAATAAAAATCCTCATGACAAAAATAAGATATTTAGATGGCTGTTAGTATTGATTTTCTGTTTGTTAAAAAATACATTAGCTGGCCCTGACCAGTGTGGCTTAGTTGGTTGGTCAGGGCACATGCCTGGCTTGTGGGTTTGGTTCACTGTTGCGGAATGCATGAGAGGCAACTGATCAATGTTTCTCTCCACATGTTTTTTTCCCTCTATTTCTCCTCTTTCTAAAAATAGAATAAATAAAACCTTAAAAAGTACATTAGCTGATAAAATAACCAAAACATTGTCTGGTGAAAGGCGAAAGCTCTCTGAACTTTGCCAGTGAAATACTTTGTACAGGCAAGCTTTCCTAAGAGCTGATTCTAACATGTTATTAAGTGCTTACATTTTTATTTCTAATGAAAAGTCCCTCAGGATTGTGTTAAACAAATCTCTTTTTTTATTTAGACCATTAAACATCGTTTAAAGTTGGAGTTGGCAGAGAGTCACTGTGAATGTTAGTTGCTGGCCATCAGTGGTCAGTGACACAGAGACTCCTGGGGTTGAGGAGAGACAAGAGCTCCAAGATTACTCATCACACAACTTCACCTGGTTATCTTGTACTTTATCCTTATTTTTAGGATTCTTTACTCCCTCCCTGGTATCAATAGCCACTTCTAGTTTTATCCATTCCTTTTGCAGATTCTACTATGGCCTGAGAAAACAAAGTTTACTCATAGAATTGCTAATGAAGCTACCATTTTCTGAGGACCTGCTGTATGCTAGGCACTGTGTTTGCCATAATCTATTTCATCTTTTTAATCTTTATACAATGCTATGAATTAGGTATTATACCCATTTTATAGGTGATGAAACTGGGGCTGAAATAGTTTGTCCAAGTTTTCATACCAAGTAGGCAGTGGAGGCAGGATTTATAGCTGACCCCCACCCCAATTCTAAGTTGACCTGCCACCTTAGTAGGTGCTGACAGCATTGTCTGCTTGTCAAAACTGCTTATGAGGCAAAATAAAAAGGCACTGACTAGGTGGGCATAAAAGGTTCACTGACCACTAGGATTTGTGTTTTGTAGAGTCTACCACCTAGTCTGCCAATTGTGTTTACCTCCTGGGTCAAAACTTTTGTGAAATACAAAAGTCTATACAAATTCTGTCCTTATTTGCTGGCCTAGTAAAGGGTTCATAATAATATGATGAATGTTATCATCCATTTAAAAAGAAGCAAACAGAGTGAGTATGGTTGAGGCTACAAATGGGAGTTAGGGCTCAATTTTTGGCTAATATCTCTGACCTGCCCAGGCAGAAGGTGTTTCCCCCCATCGGACCTGGGCATGTGTAGGTAAGCCCAGGAGAGGGTGGGCAAGGAAAGATTTTCATGAGAATACTTAATACCAGGTCTTCACAATTTTATTAGAAAACAAGGATAGTCCATTGATCAATGATATATGCTGTACATCAATTGATATTTTACTACATAAAAATATTTGGTATCTACTGCAGAATTATACACAAGTTTGTAAAAAGCCCTTCTTCATTAACCAGTACAATATAATTAACCAAAAATGTCCTTTTAAAAATTGGCTCAATACTTTTCCTTTAATCGTAAATAAAATAGAGTCAGGAGAATGAATATATAAATTCTGCTAAGCCAGTGTTGTTAACAACTTGTAATGAAACACTGTAGTGTATGTGCAAACTTCTTAAACACTCAAGACTGACAAATATATATATATATATATATATATATATATATATATATATAATCAGAAAATGCAGTAAAATCTAATTAACAGGGGAGTCCTGAAAAAAAGAGCTTAAAAGAGGTTTTTGGGGAAAACAATAAAACAAAGGAAGTTCCCAGGAGTGTAGCTACTTCCTTCCTCTGGAATCCTCCCCAGGGAACAGGAGTGACAGTGTGACATCCCACCTTGCTACTAAGGCCCCTCCTCTGCCCAGGCATATCCCTTAATTCTTGTCCCTCTCAATATTCCAGGTACAATGCTGGCAACGCCACTGCTCATTCCTGGTTACTTTCCATTACCCTTACTTTCTGGCCAATTTTGCCGCTAATTATCAGTTTCAAAACTGCTTTTCTTGGAACTACACATGCAAATATATTTTACAGATGACCTACTAAAATGCTCAGCATAACTTAAAGCTTCTGATTAGCTTTTATTGGAGGAGACACCCACAAAGCTGCAGGGTTTGTGTGCTGCCGGATGAAAAGAAGGCACTTTCTTTAAAAACATAAACTTTGGAACAGAACTGTCACTGAGACTGGTGGAGGGAATCCAAGAGAAAAGAGGTGGGAAGAGGAGAGCCAAGGTATTAAATTGTTTCTCTCTAGTTCTTACTACTTTTGAGGGGAAAAAATATGGCCAAATAAAAGTTTGTATTCAACTATAATAATAAATGTTAAAAATACAAAAAAAAAAAAAACCCAGCCCATCCATGTTCATACGATTGCAGTAAATGGCACATACATATAACATTTCAGTTTTCCAGGGTTTTTCTCTAATTACCCTAAGGACTATTATCAAGTTTTTAAAAATATTTTTCTATATCAGAAAAATCCAACTTGCTCTCATTTTTACTTAATTTAACAAGACACATTTATGTTTAGGGAAAGAATATACAAAAGAAAATTTTGTATAAAATTTAACATAATTTTTATAAATTCCATCATTCAAAAGTTTGAAAATTTTTTTTTAAATTAGAAGCATGCCTTGACTCAGCCTCTAGCCTAGAAAACTATCATTTCTTCCAACCAGAGTGCTGGGATCGAGGAGAAAGGGAAATATATGGGCCTGAAATCACATCTTCTAAACACCATCCAGAAGCCAGCACTGGAGGTACAAGCCCAGGACAGAGTGTAATTGTTTTCCCACATGTCCCCTACTCACTATAAAGTCAAGATTATTGCAAATATGAAGGTAATCTGTAGACATTTTTAGACAAAGTACTAGACAAATTTATGTCGTATGTGCAAATCATTTGTGAAGGCACTGTGCACAGCAAGGCTTCAGGGAGCAGGGCTTCAGCAGGAGACAGAGCGACTTCTCACATAGTAACAGCCAAGTGTAACTACCATCAGACTGACTGAGAGGCGTCTTTTGGAAAAACAGAGTTGGAATAAGTTTGAATTATGGCAAGCTAGAGAAAAGTCCAGACGGCATTCTTCTCAGAGAAGACAGAAGGAGGCAGAGATAGAGGAGCACTGGGGGAAGGTTCAAAGGCACATGGACTGACCTGGGAATTCACATAGCAGGTCAGAGAGGAGATCACTGTGTGGACAGACTGCAGGTTTGGGAGCGTCAGTGAAACATTAATGAGAGAACTTGGGCTTTAGTTCCTGAGCCAGGAGAGCCCTGTGGAGGTAGAGTCATCTTTAGCAAGAGTGGGATGATATGGGAGCAGTGTTCCACACAGGACAGTTAATCTGTGGGCCATGTGTATGACACAGTGGAGAGAGGAAGTGACTTGACAGCTGTCCTTCCCAAGATATAATGAGTCAAATGAAAGGCAGAGAAATAAGGTACAACAGAATGGTCATTCCAGAGGGAAATGTGTTAAAGGGGATCAGTTCTATGCTACTCTTATTTTTGAAATTCTCTCTACAGTGGAAAGCTAAGGTTATTTCAAAATCTTAGAATCCTGGAGAGAATCCCTTTGTTCACTGAAATGACTATTTTAAAGGTCTATAAATGAGATTCAGTCTTTGGAAACTAACTGCTGGCTGTAGATGTGTATGAAAAATACAAGGCAAGTGGAAAGTTCTCCAAGACCACTTCTACATTTTCCTAAGAAGATCAGTCATTTTGGGACTTCACTTGCCACTCAAGGGATCCTGTAATCCCCAGACTGGGCCACAGTCCCACCCTTGGACTGTAAATGACTTCATAAAACTGTCTCTAGACAATATATTTTCTCAATGTACTTTCCTCTTGTTTGCTCTCCCAGTGCCTTTTCTCAGAAGTTCAAATGTTCACAGAAGGCATTTGTTGCCTTTTTAAAGGCCTTCCCAAGCCCTGTGGCCTGAATTGCCCTGGCCTGCTATTGTCACCATGTCCTGTTCCCTTACCAATCAGATTCCAGGTGACCTTGGGGATAAGTGATTACACAGGTGCATTTTTTGACTGTACAAGTCAGTGGAGGCATGGCCCAAGGTACGACATCCTAAGACAGGAGTCACCCAAGGAACTCTTAGCCAAGGTCCTCACTGCTACCCAAAAGGCATGTGCACCTCCCTTTGCAGTTTCTCCTTGGAATCTGGCCTGGTGGCAGAGAATAGCAACTGGGGCTTGGATGAAGGGGGCTGGTGCTGAGCTGGCATGTGGTACCTGACATTCTTCCAGAACCTGGTCTTTGCAGACTGTGATGTTTCCTCTGTAAAGTCCCCTGACCAGCATATGGCCCCATGCTTCCGCTTAATGAATTTAATGGATTCTGGCATTTTCTCATAGTCCTGGATTTTCTCCAACTCCAGCAAGACAACTTTAATTCCATCCTGAATGAGAGCATTGTACATCACTATTTGCTCTTCAGATGAACTCCCCAGCCAGCTGAATCCCGATGTTTCTTGGACCAAAATAATAATCAGCCTTCTGCTTTTCTTTATGTTTTCGTTAGTGACTTCAACAAAGTCTAGAAAACATGAAGTATGTCTGAGTAAGTAAAATTTCTGTTTATAATCATTCTCTCCAGAACCAAACCCCCAAAAGTTTCTTTCCAACCATCCCCCATATTTCTAACACTCCTTTTTCTTGCCTTACTTAAGATTAAAGGAGGTTGTCATTTTAGAGACCTGCTTAAAAAATTGACTTACTAAAGCTGAATATTTCACTTAGGACTCAACACTTTCAGTAGAAATTTTAAAACCTTATTAAACCAGTTGATCTATACCACTTCTTTTATTGTATTGGTTTAAAGCAATTTTCAGATGTAACTAATTGTTAAGTTTTTCAAAGTGAAATACAACTTAGTTTGTTAACTTCAACAAAATATGAGAAAAGTAAATATTTTACATTAAATAATGTGAAACCCATCATTATGCACCACTGAAGAGGTTCTTAAAATTGTCAAATGTGTGCCTATGCCACAGTTTTCTAGAAAGATAAAATCCAACCTAACCCCATTAATTTAATAATTAAATTTGTTTCAAAACAAGATTTTTACTTCTTCCCATTATGTTCATACCTTCCCCAACGTAGTCATCCCTTCCATAAATGAACAGCTTATATCCACACTGTTTTTCTAAAACCTCAGGCAAGACTTTAAATACAAAAATGTCTGAGTTAGAGGTGGACCCTTCCTCAAGGGTCTTTGGATATAGTATGTATGCATCATAGGTCTTTCCATCTGAAGCTAAAGGAAAAATGTTATATTTTAGAACTACAAGAAAGAGACTTGGTCAAGTCAATATTGCAAACATGCATTTCAGAATGAATTATTTGTTATACAGACAACTATAATTGAACAATAATAAAATAATTTAAATTTTTAAAAATTGAATGAATTATTAATTTTTTCATAAAATGGTATGAATGAAACTGTAATATCAATGTTCATACCTTTTAAAAGTGTTCTACTTTTACAACTTTCTACTTATTTTGTTTTACTACCAAAGTGTTCTTCTATTATTTGATGGTTACCTCACATGCAGAGTTCTTTACCTCTTTGTATGGGATCTTCCAATTCTTATCTTTTTCCCCAAATGTCACAGCACTGAATTCTAGCATTCTCCCTTTTATATATTATTGTAGTATTTGGTTTTTTTACAAGGTTTGAAATAAGAGAGTGCTTCTCTGATGCATGAAAATTGAATCTTATCTTTGATTTGATGTCAAGCCTTGGGTGATCTGTGTCCTACCCAGCACAGAGAAGGTCTTCAACAATGGTTTCTGAATAACTGGACTTATAAACACAAGCTCTAAATGCCTGTTTATCCAACCATTACAAACATTAAGGCAGTAACTTGGAAAACAATGCTTTTCAGTCTGTTCACTTATGAAACTACAATTATATATAAAAATAACTACTATTTTAGTGTATGTTACATTTCATTTTAAAATTTAAATAAACCTCTCTTAGTTATCTTCTACATCTCTTAACTAGCCCCTCTCTTCAACAAGAAAACATTCCACGGAATATAAAAATTGTACCTTTTTTGGGGAGAAAATCATAGCAAGAATCCCTGTACCAAAGTACTATGTCAATCTTGAAGATTTTATAGATGAAAACAGAGCTTGTAATTACTACTGTTAATATGACAAATATACTAATAATGTGCTTCTGGAAATTGGGAACTATAGCAAAAAAGAGAAAAAATATTAGAACCAAATAAATCAAAGTTTGAGCATAGCAAATTAAACATTATCATCCCAGAGAAACCATATTTGGTATTAGCCCGCAGTCCCAAATCCCAAATAGTATTAACCCATTCATTATCACTTAATAATGGATATTAATATACAAGGCCATCCAGAATAGATGCTATATAAAAAAAGTATACTGTATTAAATTTCCACCTAAGTGGTATAATATACAATCGCATAGAAAAATAACAAATAGAATAGAGTACTCCATATTAAATGAGTCAAAGTCAGTCAAAAGCCAACAGAAGTTCCTAGAGGTAGAAGAGTCAGGTGGGAAAAGGTAAAAGCTGGAAGAAAAGGGGGATTAGGGATGCCACACAAAATGTTTCTCATTTACATGTTCTCTGGGCTTCACTTGCTAATTATTCTATTCATTTACTGACTGACTACAGAGCAGGTGGGGCAAAGGAGTACAGTGAAAGGGAGGTAAAAAGGATGTAAAGAAGAAGAAAAAAGAAGAAAGTGACTTCTAAATGTCAGGGGCCATGTAGGCATCAAAAAGAGAGAATCTACTTATTTAAGATTTTCAATTTAGGTCTTTGATCCACCTGCAATTGATTGAGGTATAAAGTAGAAATCTAGATATACCACTTTCCAGACCAACAGCCGATTGGCTAAGTGGATAATTGATGTTTATAGTCTTCATAACTGTAACTTTATATAAGATCATGATACCTCTAGTATAAATCTTCCAGACTTGCTGTTTTTATTCAAGACCATTAGGGGTGTCCAACCTGTGGCCCACAGGCTGCACACAGCCCAGGATGGCTGTGAATGCAGCCCAACACAAAATCATAAATTTACTTAAAACATTATTCAGAAAAAAACATTATTCGACTTTTTTTGTGATTACGTGTCACAATATATTTCATGTGTAGCCCAAGACAACTCTTCTTCTTCCAGTGTGACACAGAGATGCCAAAAGGTTGGACACCCCTGAGAGTATTTTTGGCTCTTTACATTTCCCTATGACTTTTAAAGTAAGCCCGCCTAAAACCACGTACCCGCCGCCCCCCACATACACACCCATACTTGCACAAATTGTGCTGAGATTTTTAGTGGAATGGTTTTGAATCTATAAATTCACTTGGAGACAACTAACATCTTTATAACACTGAGTCTTTCAATATATGAACAATGTATATTCCTCCATCTGTTTAGGTCTTTTCCAATTTATCTCAACAATTTTTTGTTTGTTTTTTAGTTCATATTACGGAGGTCTTTAACAGCTCTTGCTAGATTTATTCCTATGACTTTGACAATCTTTGATGGTACTTTAAAGGTTATCATTTCAATTTAATTTCTACTGGTATTGTTGGTTTGTTGTTGGTACTTACAGACACAGCAATACTACACATATATGTAGACTAGTGTGATCTTGCTAAATTCACTTACAGTTCTAACAGTTTGTTAGATTCTGTTTCATGTATGCATTCATAAATACCCTATTTTAATTTAACTACAACTAACCTTAAAATATTTCACAAATACTCTTAATACTGTATATAAAGAATATACAACTGATAAAAATCAATGACTTCTCACATCCTCTCCAGAAAGTGGATATTTAGATTTCCCCTGTGCATCCATCATTCAGCTAAACACATTCATTAGGTATCTACCATGACCAGATTTAAGTTGCCACTAGTTCTGGAAATAGAATAATTAGTAAAATAAATGGTCTGCACCATCACAGAATTTATAGTCAAGTAAAGAAAACTAAGTATGATAAATATTGTGATGGGGACATATAGTGCTATGGAAGTAGATTAATTTTGGCAGAGAGCAGGACAGAAAAGTTCCCTAACAGAAGAAATTGTTCAGCCAAGAAGAGAAAAAAGAAGTTATCCAGGTTAACAGGAATCCAACAGCATTTTGGCAGAGGAAATAGCATTGAAAACTTCAAGGAATCATACCATGCTAAAACAAAATTACATTCCCAATAAATAGTTTTGTTGTTTACCTGGATGTATTAATTGGATATATGCTGCATTTATACCATATGTATTCCTGGCTACACAGGTAAATGGATATAGATAAAATTTACTTTTCACTTCTGAAATATTAAGCATTATAATGAATGTATTCCTTTTTTTGGATGAAGGATTTTCCACTCTGCTCAAAAGAGAGAGAGAGAGTAAATAAAGTTACTTAAGTAAACTGCATTAACAACAAATAAGACACATGTGCATGGTTTATCTCTTAATTTGTTTCATAAATTGCAGCAGAAGTAATCACCAGTCCTAAGAACAGGTGTGACAATCAGGCTGCTAGCCACACTGATGGTAGATGTGATAGCCTTAGGGCCACTGTCAATAAAAGACTCAGCAGCAGAGAAATTTAATTAAAATCACAAGCTTTCAAGAAGAAAAATAGAGATATGTGCACTTTGGTCTCCATGGGGCACAGAGAAAAATATATGTAAAAAGAGTAGAGTGGGCAGGTGCCAGAGGGTCGGAATGTGATGCTAAGGAGTCAGGAGTTTAACGCTAGAGAGCTTATAGGTAGCCTCTGGAGATTTGAGAAGTAGAGTGCATGATTCCTGACCCCATTTAATGAGTCTTTGTTAGAGTACTTAAAAAATAGAATAACATAAAGGTTATTCAGGAAAATTATTTCACTGGACTGTTGCAACATATATAACTAATTTAAGAGAAAGCCTTATAAATGGTCCTGAATTTGCACCACAATGACACGTATTTTTATCTTAAATATACAAGACCTCTTAAATTCTGTTTAGCTTTGCAAAACTCAGTGTGGGCAGCAACGGGATAAGAACCAATCAACTGTCAACTAACCTTTGCTATTAGGTTAAACCATCAAAGTTATATAAAGTATAACATGCGATTTAGCACCAAAACTTCTCTATTATAAGGTTGGCTTTCAGCATACTTACAGTCTATAGTCTTCCACGAGCACTGGATCATCATCAATCATTGACCCATTCCACTTCCAATAGACAATGTCACCGAACTGGACAGTGACATTGCATATCAATTGTAGCTGGGATCCTGCAAAGCAATGTATTTTTAATCATTGTATTAATTGATTTTATGTGATCTATCTGTATTAACAAATGACTACTGAATAAAAATTTTAAATTATATGAAAACACAAAGAAAAAGATCACCCTTAAACCTACCACTTAGAAGTGACCACTATTAGTAACATTATTTATCTCATATCTTATCTTCTCTATGCACATATGCACTTTTTAAAATGAGGTATAATGTATACTATTTGTAATGATTATTGCATTGGGAATGCTGACTCATGCCATTAGCCTTTCAGGGCTGCTTAATATTCCACAATACAGACACAATACAATTAATTATTGTCCCATTGCTATAGTGTTTGTAATTTTTCATTACTATGATTACTATTCCAATGAACCTTCTTGCACATCAATATTATACATACCCTTAAGTACTACTTTAAATGAAAATCTAGAAGTAGAATTCAGTTAAAAGTCGATATACATTTTAAAAGCTGACCACCCTTTCTCAAATGAGACTGCAAGCCTACACTGCCCCCAGAACTGTGTGCAACTGCCATTTCCCTCCCCAACTCCCAGAGCAGTCACTGCCGATTCAGAAAAGAAAAAAACTACATTTAAATTTCACCTGCATTTCTTCAATTAATAGTGAATTGACAGGTTTTTCATAAGTTTAGTGTTCATTCACCTTTAAGAACTGCTTGTTATTCCCACGATCCATTAATCATATTCTCGTGTTAAACTTACTGATGTGGAAGAGTTCTTTATTCATTAAGGGTATTAATTCTTTACCATACATGAAAACTACTCCAAAAATCCTTCAGCATTAGTCACTTTTATTTCACTTTTATTTATAATTATTTGGTACAGATATTTTCATTTTTTGTTTGGTCAAATGTATATGTTTATTTTATCTGTTTTTGCTATTTTTTTCCTAAAATCTCTTCCATCAAATCAGGTAAATATCTATGTACACTTTATTTGGAGGAAATAATACTTTCACTGTTGTACTGTTTTATAGTTTTAAGGGGGCAAGAGAATTTTAGCTGTTGCCATTGTTTGTGGCCCTTCAAAGTATCATAGTACATTAATAGATAGACAATATTATCTGTGGTATTAACATGTAATGAAGAAGAAGACTAGAGAAAAATGCCTCTTTCAGCTCTAAAGGGGAACAATGACACACACAAAAAAGAGGAATACTACTCTAGATTATATTGGCCTATATTCAATTTTCAGTTTTCACATGTTTGTTAGTTTATAACTAAGAATGTCTTTATATTACCTTCCTATTGTTAGTTTATAACTAACAATGTCTCACACAATGGTTACTGTATAAATAACAATTCAGCTAAGTACAGAATCCACAGGTAACAAATTCTTATCTTCTAATCTCTGTCTTCATGTAGTTACTATTACAGAAAATAATGCTGTATGCCAACTTGATTTTTGATCCTCTGATACAAAAATCTGTTTTTGTGTTATTTTATTTTTTATTGAATTTATTGAAGGGTGATAGGTTTCAAGTGTACAACTCAATAAAACACCATCTGCACACTGTAATATGTGCCCATTGCCCCAAGCAAAGTCTCTCTCTGTCCCAATATTTCCTCCCTTTACCCACCTCCACCTAGCTCTTCCCCTTTCCCTCTGGCTATGACCACACTTAAATCTGTGTCTATGTGTTATATATATATATATTTTACTTTAAGCAAAAAATCCCTTCATTTTTTTTCATCCATTCCCCCCAATCTCCTCCCCTTTGACAGCTGTCAATCTGTTCCATGTATCCTTGCCTTTGTTTCTATTCTATTCATCAGCTTATTTTTTTCATTAGATTCCACAGATAAGTGAGATTTTATAGTAGTATTTGTCTTTCTCTGACTGGCTTATTTCAGTTAGCATAATAAAGCATAATAATCTCCAGATCTACTACTCATGCTGTCATAAAAGGTGAGATTGTCCTTTTTTTTGCAGTCCATTAATATTCCATTGTGCAAATATACCACATATTTTTATCCACTCATACACTGGTAGACACTTGAGCTGTTTCCAGATATTGGCTATTGTAAATAACACTGCAATGAATATAGGGGTGCAAATATTCTTTCAAATTACTGTTTCTTTATATGCGTATTCTCAGAAGTGGGACAGCTGGGTCAAAAGGTAGTTCCATTTTTTGTTTTTGTTTTTATTTTTTTAAAGATTTTGTTTATTTATTTTTAGAGAGGAGAAGGAAGAGGAGAGAAACATAAATGTACGGTTGCCTCTCATGCGCCCCCTATGGGGGACCTGGCCCACAACCCAGGCACGTGTCCAGACTGAAGTCAACCCCATGACGCTTCAGTTCACAGGCTGGCACTCAATCCACTGAGCTACACCAGCCAGGGCCCATTTTTTATTTTTTGATGAAACTCCATACTGTTTACAGAGTAGCTGTACCAGTCTATGTTCCCATCAACACTGAACAAAATCCTCTTTTCTCCACATCCTCACCAGCACTTGTTTGTTGATTTGATGATAGCCATTTTAACAGGTGTAATAGCTCATGGCAGTTTTAATTTGAATCTCTCACATGATTAGTGATGCTGATGATTTTCTCATATGTCTATTGGTCATCTCTATGTCCTCTTTGGAGAAGTATCTATTCTGGTCTTTTGCCCATTTGTAACTGGGTATTGGTCTTTCTGGTGTTGAGCTGCATAAGTTATTTATATATCTTAGAAATTAACCCCTTATCAGTCATATCATTGACAAACATGTTCTCCCCTTCAGTGGGTTCCCTTTTCATTTTGTTGATGATTTCTTTCGCAGTTCAAAATCTATTTATTTTCATGTAGTCCCACTTTGTTTAATTTCTTCCTTTGTTTTCTTTGCCAGAGGAGGTATATAGGCAAAAATATTGCTACAAGAAATGTTTGAGGGTTTTTTTTTATCCTCACCTGAAGTTATGTTTGTTGATTTTAGAGAGGGAGGGAGGAAAGGAGGTGCTACCAACAGAGACAGGGAAGGGGGAGAGATACGAGAAACACTGATCAGTTACCTCCATACATAATCAAATAGGGATCAAACCTGCAACCTAGGTATGTGCCTTGACTGAAGAATGAACCCACAACCTTTTGGTGTATGGGACAACACTCCAACCAACTGAGACACCTGACCAGGGCAGATGTCTGACCTGGAGCATGTTTTCTTCTAGGATTTTTATGGTTTTACAATTTGCATAAACATCTTTTATCAATTTTGAATTTATTCTTATGAATTTTGTATGTTGGTGGTCTAGTTTCTCTCTCTCTCTTTTTTTTGCATGTTCCTGTCTAATCTTCCCAACACCATTTGTGAAGTAACTGTCTTGACTCCATTTTATGCTCTTGCCTCCTTTGTCAAATATGAATTGACCATAGAGGTGTGGGTTTATTTGTGTGCTCTCTGTTCTATTCACTGATCTATATGTCTGTTCCTATGCCAGTACCAGGCTGTTTTGATTCAATGGCCTTGTAGCATAGCTTGTTATCAGATAAAATGATACCTCCAACTTTGTTCTTATTTTTCAAGATTGCTGAAAACTGATTTGAGGTAAAATTGATGTATTTATTTGTATGTAATAAGATTAAATCTAAAACGTTTGTAATAAAGCAGTTTCAAGTTCATTTTTGGCTTTTTTTTTTTTTTTGCATATGGCCACACTAATGAAGTTGACACAAAATATTCTGCGGCTCTTTTCTACTTTGTCTTCTTATTGGATTTCTCCTCTATTTTTTCCCCTTATCCTCTTCACAAAAATACTCTTCATTCATGTCTAAGTCATCTTCACTTTCTTTACTAGAAATATCTTGTTCAGTATCCAAACCCTCTGAACAAACTTCCACAAAATCTTCATCTTCTAAATCACTTTCATTTTCACATTCAATGCCATCATTCTCATCATCAGACTCAAAGAGAATTTGCTGAAGTTCAACATCTCTTGGACTACTGAATTGATATATTTTTCCAGCCATTTTCAATGGTAAGTGAAAAAAAGTGCTGACTTCAAAGTTCGTGAATAAAACTACACTAATACTGACTTCAGAGTTTGAGGTCTCTCAGATACAATTTCCTATCAAATATCACATGCCCTTATGAAACACATGTTATAACCAAACTGATGGCTTAAAGGTATGGCATAACATTAGTCACAAACACACAGCTAGTCATGACCTTGAGTTTATACACCTGATATACGTAACAATATTTTAAAAAAGACTTTGTATCCCTTAAATCAGCTGCAACCACTGCATGGTTAAGGTTATTATTGGTAGGTACTTATTGCCATTTTATTCTTTGTACATATGTTCCTCTCCCTCTCTATTTCTTCTTCTTCTTAAAGTAGTCTCTTTAACATTTTTTGCAATTTTTGTTTGGTGGTAATGAACCTCTTTAACCCTTTCTTTGTTTGGTCTGGGAAGCTCTTCATTTTGCCATCAATTTTAAATGATAACCTTGCTTGGTAAAATAGTTTTAGTTGTAAGTCCTTGCTTTTCATCACTTCGAACATTTTATGCCAATCCCTTCTGGCCTGAAGTGTTTCTCTTGAGAAATCAGCTGACAGCCTTATGGGAACTCCCTTGCAGGTTTTAAGATCCTTTGTTCTTAAGCTTTGCCATTTTAAGTACGATGTGTCTTAGTGTGTGCCTCATTGAGTTTTTCTTGGATGAGGCTCTCTGCGCTTCCTGAATTTGGGTGAGTTTTTCCTTCATTAGGTTAGGAAAGTTCTCCGATCTTACTTTTTAAAACAAGCTCCCTATGCCTTCCTCACTCTCTTATCCTTGGGGTACCCCTATGATGCAGAGTTGTTATGCCTGATGTTGTCCCAGAGGCTCCTTAGACTTTCCTCATTTTTAAAAAAGTTCTCTGGTCTTTTAGATGCTCTGCTTGGATGTTTAATGTAATCTTGTCCTCTAAATCACCAATTCAATACTCTGATGAACCTCATCTAACCTGCTGTAGATTCCTTCTAGTGTATTCTTCATTTCAGATATTGTATTCTTCATTTCTGTCTGGTTCTTTTTAATGCTAACTATCTCTTTATTCAAGTTCTCACTGAGATCACCCATTCTTCCCCTTGAACATGCTCTTGAATAAGCTCTTGAACATGCTTATAAACATTGTTTTAAATTCTGCATCTGGTATTTTGAGTGCTTCCATGTCATTTAATTCTTTTTCTGAGGGATTTCTCACGTTCTTTAGTTTGGGGCACATTTCTTTTTACACCATTTGTCTGCACTTTATGTTCATCTCTGTGTATTATGCAGATCTGCTGAGTCCCCAGCTTGTATAAGGGCTTTCTGAAATAGGCACCTTATGGGTCACAGAGGTGCAATCTTCTACATCACCTAAGTTAGCCCTAGTGCTCTGATTTGGGAGTCCTGATGTGGGTTTGAGACCCCATGCAACCTCGGTGGGAACTTTTACAGCTTCTCAGCCGCCACACCTGGATAGAGGCACCAGCCCTCTGCACCTCCCCCATTATCAGTCTCTGTGTAACTTCTGTAAATCCTTGGATATAATACTCCTGTCCAGCTGTCCTTCAGTTGGTCACTCAGGTTGATTGCTCTGTAATTTAGCTGTAAATCTCATTTGGCTCTGGGAATAGGTGTATGTAAGCTTCCATTTACTTCACTGATATCTCAGATCTCTCTGTTTTTATGTTTAGACCAGTGGTTTCTAATAGAACTTTCAGTGATGGTGAAAATGTCCTATATTTGTGTTAATACTATAGTTACTGGTCACCCATATCTATTAAGCTCTTGACTGAGACACTAATGTTCAATTGAACTAAATAATTGATTTAATTTAAATTTACATATACATAACCACATGTGCCTGGTGGTTGTTGCATTGTACAGTGTAGGTCTAATGCTTATAATATTTCCTCATTCTTGAAATAAAAAGTGTTCACTAATTTAAAAAAGTATTTTTCTAAAATGACTATCTTTTTGACCTCTAATCTTACTCTTCTGCCTAAAAGCTTAACACCCTGGGCATAAGAAATTCATTGTGTACCAAATAAATTACATTTCTCATTCCTAGGCCTGTTGAAAATGGCCTTTGACTGGTGTTGTCATGGGTAATAGGTTTCCACAGAAAAGCAAGGATGGTCAAATCAGACTTGGTTAGAAGCAAGAAATCCAAAGAAACATTTAACATACGATCTATGCCACCTTCTTTCTAAATATAGAGATATCCAGTAAACAACTTAAGTTTACTAGTATGTGTAGTAAAGGTACAATTTATCTTAATCTTGAATTCAAAATAATTATTTCAGCACATCCTAATTTGAGGCCACTTACCCAAGACCACTTCCATCGTCTCATTAACTGGACTCACAATCACAGGCCTCATGGGCCTATTTTCCTCTGAAAGAAAAACACCCACAGGGTTTCTCAGTCTCATATAGATTAGAATTTCAAGTGACAACAACACTTGGCTAAATATACCAAAACATACTATACAGCATCCTGCCAGATATTCCCTAAAGTGCTTGAAGCACTTATGGCAGGAGACAGAAGAGGTGAAGGAAGGAGGCTAACATGAAGGCCATAGCGAAACTGTGAATACCCACTAAAAGGCCTGTACCCTTCTGAACCCATGGAGTTTGGTGCTACAAAAAAAAAAACCACACATGACACCAGGGCTTGAGGCTCCAGACAAGTGCCTCCCTTAAAGTGAATCCAGGAATATGAGCAATCGTGGAAAGGTACTTCTGTTGGTGAAGCATTATTCCCAGAAAGGCCATCCAATGCTAGATCTGCTTATATCCAGTGTCTTTAAAAATGACCCAAGAGTAGAATGTCAAGAAATTAGGCATAATTTATTAAAACAGACATAAAAATATTAAGTAGCTCCAGCAAGTAATCTGGCTTTTATTTATAAGAAGATTGGCTTCAAGGGGTAGTCTGTGGCCAACTCTGGAAAACTATGAACTTGAATGTAAAGTATTAAAAAAAAAAAAAAGTAAGCTACATCAAGGCAGGATATTGTCTTTTTTGTTTGCTATATATACCTAGAACAGTGACTGGCACATAGTAGATGATCAACAAATAATTTTGATTCTGCCTTTAGAAAAAAAAAAAAAAATTGACCTCATCCCTGATTAAGTATATTATTTCTATATAAGGGATCCAAAAGGACATGAAGAATATATCTGCTGGTCTAGTTACTAGATAAGTAGATGGCTGGATAGATGATTGATAGATAGATAGATAGATAGATAGATAGATAGATAGATAGATAGATGATAGACAGACACATGGATAAATACATAGATAGATCGATCTCAGGAAAAACAAACCAGAGCTAGACAATGACCAGAGAGAGGCTGCTAAAAACTCAAGATGCTTGTGACTATTGAAAATTACAAGTCACTAATGCTTGTAGGAATTAATTCTGGTTCAATAACATAAACTTTGAAAAAATAAATTACTGTTGAATTGAGATAGCTCAGCTATATGTAGGGTGATCATGTTCTGGGTGACCTGTGATATTCCCTATTTATGCCTGTTGTCCCAGCATATTATTAATAAAAACCCCTTTAACTTTCAAACTCCTGGTTAGAGTAACTCTTTGTATATTGGAAAAAGTTTAAAGCTCTGATATCAACAGTAAGATCAAGCATTCTTTCATCCCCAGATAACTTGTCAGAGTGCACTTTGTTGTAAAATAGTTTTTAATATGAAACATGGTTAATAGAGAATTGAAAGCCCCGGAAAATTAACAAGAATCATCACCATGAACCTATTTATTGCTCATCTGTTCTGCATCAAATACATGATCACATAATTAATCTCTAATCTTCCCAACAACCTGGGAAGGATGTATCATCTTCATACAGAGAAGGAAACAGGCTTAGAGAGGTAAAGTAATTGGGCTAATAGGAACTAACAAGAGGGACATTATGGGGGTGTAACTTATTCCAAAACCCATTAGCATCCTCGTCATCATGCAAATGATCATCATTGCTAGACATTGATTCCCCAAGGGAAGGAGCCCAGAACTGTCCCTTATACACCAGTTAGAATCAGCCCAAGTTCTCAGGAAGAACCATCTTTAGCCATCCCAAAGAACAAGCCTCCTAGTTCAATTGAAAAATACAGCTCATGCTGTCTGTTTAATTAGATCTGCATCTGAAGCAGGAATAAAAGCCATTTACATAGTATTTAACAACAAATTAAGACCATGTGACCTTTGGCAAGTCATCAAGATTCTCATGGATTTAGTTCCTCCATGGATGATGAAGGTAATAGTAGAACTGTGGTCTCTGGGCTTTCCCAGATGTGAACTCATAGGACTGAAATTATGACTCACCTAGAGTTAGAAGTTCTATAACCCGGGAGATGCTATATTGCTTTCCCAAATATGTGTAGGATGCAAAACAAGTATAGTTCCCTTTATGCGCTTCAGTCACATTCATGATAATGAGCTTACTTGATTCACCAATAAAATTCATATTGTCAAGAAGTAGAGGTTTGCAATCCTAGACAGAGGCACAGGATGGAAGTATTGAAAACCAATTAATAACTTACTCAAGTCAGCCAGGAAAAAAATCTATTTTTTCACATCAGCAAATGTTTTATAGATATATAATATATACATTATACTTTATATGAATTTATGTATATATACATATATATGAAAAGAAAGTTTCCTTGTATACAAGTTTTAATATTGTCATTTTTATGGCCAAAAGCATAGTATTCCTAGGATATTAAATGTTAGGTCTATGAGCCTTGCATTTTGAAAACAAATTTTTCTTTGTCAATTAAAAAACACATTTGAGGAAGGAATGCTCAAACTATAGTTTCTCTGTAATGCTGTACTTCCTTTCTTCACTGATGCTATTTATTTTGTGTTTCTTACCCTACACAGGATAATTCTCCAAGTAGGCTCCAAAAACCTAGGGAGATCAAAGGTATCCAAACATAATGTGCTCTCTATATAGTGTTAGTCAATCACTTTTAAGACATAAACTACTAACTTATTTAAGGACCACAAGATATTTTAAATAAAACACAAAATAATACATTTTGTCATAAACAGTTATCTCTTAAAAACTGTAAATTTATAGTCTTATCTTTAAACATCTTTTATTCTTACTATACTCTTCTCAACTATATCTAATTAAATAAAAATAATAGAAAGTAAGATTTTAATTAAGCTGCAAATTAAATAGATATAGTCTTACAACTTTTAAAAAACGTTCCTATTAAATTTTACCACTAAAAAGCAAACAATGTGCCAAATGAAAAGTAGTTTTCAGATACTACATATTGTCTACAACAGAAAGCTATTTTATTTGCTGGAAAGTAAAATACCATATTTAATATATTACCTTATACCACTGTATTTTTGGTAACTCATTGTTTTCATCTTTAAAATAATCCAAATAAGGACACACAAGTTGTCCATCTCCTGCAATAGGCAGTTTCTGTGTAAATATAGCTTGTGTACTGTAACACAAGTTAGGTTCACGTTGTACAAACTTTGCAGTTATTTTAATCTTGAGGCAGTAAGTTGAATTTCTAAAGTAAATCAAAATAGGTCAATTAAGCATTATTAAAAGATTTTTCTGTCTTTAACAATTATAGGTACATAGAACACATGTTTTTAATACATTAATTACTTTCTTACCTTACCGCACAATAGTAATGTCCTGAATCCTCTACCTTAGCTGGAACAAACCAAAGTTTATCTTTGTGCTGATGAATCCTGGAGTCTCTTTCTGTAGATATAGATGTCTTGCTGTCATTTTTATACCAATTTATAGTTCCTTTGTTTTCATTTGGGTTAAGAGGACATGAACGGACATCTATGTCATATGCAGAAGAAACTAAAATTATTTTATCTTTACGTTTCTCACATTTACCTTTGAAAGGGAGAAAAAAACGATTTCTATGTGAAATCTGACAGTGTTTCTTAACATGATATCTACATATAAACATCAATTATTCAGTATATCAATTCCTATTAAATATGAGTTTTAGTAGCCATATTATTGACATTATCTTGAAAGTATCAAAGGTTAATATTCAAATCCAGTTGTATTATGTACTATGTGAGTGCTCTTGAACAAGTTATTTAACCTCTTATCCCCTCCTAATCATCTAAACATTGATGAAAATGTATCAGGTGAGAGATCTACTTGGGTACAAGATGGAGTAACAGGGACTGCACTCACCCTACCATCTGAACAACTGAAAAATAGGCAAAATCCATAAAACAACAATGTTCAAGACTTTGAACATCAGGAAACAAAGGACAGGAATATCAGAAAGGTAGGAAGCAAAGGAGGTGAGCCCTATAATATTCCCAAATTACTGCCTAGAGAGATTCTAGAACAAAGTATTGCGAGGAAGAAATGCAGGCAAAGTCTATTGTTCTTCGAGTTGAGCAAATGGAGCTGGAAATTCAGGTAAATCAAAAGTTCACAGGGCAGAGTGCCAAACAGATTAGCACTGCAGAGAGAGAGAGAGAGAGAGAGAGAAAGGAAGAAGGAGAGGGAAAAAGAAAAAACAAGTGCTTTGGAGATCAACAGAGAATCTCCTTCAAGTTTTCAGCTGGGTATTGATTAGTGTTAGGATATAAGAAAAACTACCCAAGGTTAGAGTGAGAACTGCCATACGGATTAAAGTGCACACAATTCTGGAAATATGTGTGTTGATAACTAGAATGGAAACCCTCATTAATCATGAGGCATCAGGTAGAATACCCAGAGGGATTTGACTTAGTAAGTGGGGAAAATTAGGGTTAGAATAACTTTTTTTTCTGAATATGACTAATAAAATTTAAAAGCAAGACCTGAAAAGACTAACTACTTTCAAGTAACAAACTTGTGACAAAACAAATCAAGAACATTCTTAGTAATACAAAAATATCCAGCACTCAACATAGTAAAAATCACAATGTCTGGCATCTGATCAAAAATTACTAGGCATGCAAAGAATTAATATAACTAATAGTGAGGAGAAAATAATCAATACTGACTCAGAAAAAGACAGAGATGATAGAATGGGAAAATTAAAATAGTTATTACTATTGCATTTTACTTGATCAATATACTAGATCATACATGTTGAGAAGAGACATGAGAGCTTTTTTAAGAAACTTAAATAAAACTTCTGGAGATAGACACTACAATGTTGACTTAAAAAATAACACAGTATCTGATTAATAGCATATCTGACACTGCAGAAGAAGAGATAAGTGAACTTTAAGACATGGCATTAGGTACTATTCAAAATTAAACACAGTGAGAAAAAAACCATAAAATTAACAGGGCATTAGTTACCTGCAGGACAACTTCAATATATGTAATAGGAATTCCTGAAGGAGAAAGGTGAGTGAATCAGAAAAAAAAATTTTTAAGACCTATGTGTTGAAATTTTTCAAGATTTTTATGAAAATGAGGAACTCACAAATGCCAAAATCACAATGAACCCCAAGCAAAAGAACCAGGAAGAAAACTCTACCAAACAAAGAAAAAAATGATGCAGCCTTCTTGCCAGAAACAACACATGCCAGAAGAAAGTGGAATAATAAGTACTTAAAGAAAAAAGATAATCAACTTAGAATTCTATATTCAGTGAAAGTAACTTTCAAAAACAGAGGCAAAATAAACTTTTTTGCATTTATTCGTAAAAGCTGTAAAAATTAATCACCAGTTGACCTGTACTATCTGAAAAATATAAGAAATCCTTCAGAAATAAAGAAAATAGTATCAAATGAAAAATGAATCTACGTAGAAGAATAAAAACACCAAAAATGTTTACTACATGTGTAATTATAAAATAATTTTCTTAATATTTAGATCTCCTTTAAAACAACTGCATGTTTAGAGCAAAAATAATAGTGTACTGTGAGATTTATAACATATAAAGTGGCAAAATACATGGAAACAATAAGGTCAAGTTCTAAAAGGGATGTATACTGTTTTAAGATTTTTATACTATATGTGAAATAGTATAGCATCATGTAAAGGTAGACAGTGATAAGTTAAAGATGGATACTAGAAACCTGAGAGCAGCTATTCAAAAAACAAAAACAGTTATTAGTATAAGCCAACAAAGGAGATAAAATGAATCATGAAAATCCTCAATCAATTCAAAAGGCAGATCAATTAAAAAAATTCTTATCAATCCAAAAAGAGAAAAAATAACAAAGAGTTGATGAGACAGAAACTAAAATAACAAGATCCTAAAATTAAACCCAAATATGTTATTAATCATATTTAAAAATTTTAATGATCTAAACACTCCAACTGAAAGGCAGAGATGGTCAGGATAGATGAAGGAAGAAGGACCCAACTGTATGCTGCCTAATGCACACACACACATGCTGTCACACTATTTACACACATTTTAAATATAAGAATACAAATATGTTCAAAAGTTTAAAAAATGAGGTGGTGGAGGATACCATGTTAACACTAATAAAAAGAAGGTTTAAACGGTTATTATATTGTTAATAACCAAAGTAGATTTTGTAGTAAAGAATATCATCAGGAATAAAAAGGGTCATTTCATTATGATAAAGGAGTCATTCATCAAGAAGTACATAGTAATCCTAAATATTTACTTACCTACTAATAGTGCTTCAAAATACTTGAAGCAAAAACTGCTAGACTGCAAGAAGAAATAGAGAAACCCACAATTATAGTCAGAGATTCCAATACCCTACTCACAATAATGGACAGAACAGGTAGAACAATTAGATAAATAATCATTAATGATATAGAAGATTCGAACAATGTATCAACCAATTTGGCATAATTGATATTTATAGAAAATCCTAACCAACAAGAGCAGAATACATATTTTTAAGTAAACACAACAAACTTATCAAGATATACAATATTCTTGCTCATAAGCCAATGATTGATGATACATTTAAGAAGATTCAAATTAGTCAAAGTTATATTCTCCAGTGAAATGGGATTCAACTAGAAACCAATAACAGAAAGATAACTAGGAATTCCCAAAATATCTGAGAAAACATTTTAAATGAATATAAAATATACTGTTAGCTGGGAAGCCATACAGTTCTAATTTATCAGTTCCATAAAGCACCAGCAGATTTGAACATGAACTTCCACAGTATGCAGAATGCAATCATGAAAAGTATTATTCATTATAAACTAAAAAACATACTTCTAAATAACCCATCAGTCAAAGAAGAAATAAAAAGGGAGGGAAAACATATGTCAAAATGAATGGTATGCAATGGAAACAGTGTTTAAGGAAAACCTGCAGCACTAAATGGCTATATAAGAAAAAAATATCTCAAATTGATGACTTCAGTTTCCACTTAATAAATTAGAAAATAATCAAACCCAAAGTAAGCAGAAGATAAAAAATAATACAGATCCAAGAGATAATCAATGAAATGGAAAACCGAAAAACAATACAGAAAAATCAGGTACCAAAAGCCATTTCTTTCAGAAAATCAGTATCACTAATAAGATCTCCAGCCCAATTGATCAGGAGAAAAGAGAGGTGACATCTCTCATTAAAATGCTTTAAGCCCTGGCCATGTAGCTCAGTTTGTTGCAACACCACCCCCTAATCAAAAGGTTGCAGATTTGATTCTCTGCCTGGGTACACACGTGTGCAATCCCTGGTCTGGACGCGTACAATCCAAGGTCCAGGCATGCATGGGAGACAAGGGATTGGTGCTTTTCTCTCACACTGATGTTTTTTTCTCTCTCCCTCCCTCGTTCCCTTCCTCTCTCTTTAGAAACAATGAAAAAAATGTCCTCAGGTGAGGCTAAAAAAATACTTTCATAGGGATAATAAGGAAGTATTAAGAATAATTTTATGCCAATAAATTCAACGATCTATTGAGAAATGACCAAATTTCACATGCCTTGAAAGGCACAGACTATAAAAGCTCCCTCAAGAAAAAATAAATATTTGAGTAGCCCTTGAGATATTTAAAGAAAATGAATTTGTATCTAAAAACCTTCCAACAAAAAAAATTTCAGACCTAGATGGCTTCACTGGTATATTCACGGGAAAAACAACAATTTTACACAAACTCTTCCAGAAAACTGAAGAGTCAGTAACCTTGTCAGTTCACCCTCTCAGGTCAGCACTGATCTCATACCAAAGCCAGACAAAGACATTATAAGAAAAAAAGTCTTCATCATGAACATAGATGCAAACTTTCTTTGTAATGGTGTACAAACAAAATCCTACAATATACTAAAAAAGGGTAACACATTATGATGTACCTAACATCCCTAGAAATGTAAAGTTGAGTTCACATTCAAAAAAATAATTGATAAAATTCTACATATTGACTTGGTTTAAAAGAAAAACTATATAATTACCTTAATAGATGCAGAAAGAGCAACCTACAAAATCTAGTATCCATTCCTAATAAAAACTCAGCAAATTAGGAATAGAGAGAAATTTCCTGAACCTAATAAAGAACAGTTATGAAAAATCTACAGCTCTCATATATAGTAAGATTAGGAATAAGGTACATATGTCCACTCTAATTATCCATATTCAACATTGTACTAGAAGATCTAATTAGCACATTAAGAAAAAAATAAATGCCATCCAGATTGAAGAGGAAAGTGAAATGACTTTCTTTGTAGACTTGATCATCTCTGTGGAATATACTATGAAATCTACAATAGACCTAGATGGATTAGTAAATTGTAGTGTAATATGAGTATGCAAAGTTGAATGGGTTTGCATACACTAGTTAAGAACAATTAAACACCAAAATTTTTATGTTGTATTTTTATTTTTTAACTGATTTTTTTATTGTTGTTCAAATACAGTTGTCCCCATTGACCCCCCTACCACGTTCCACACCCCACCCTCGTACCTACACCCTTTGGCTTTTTTCATGGGTGTT